CCGTAAGATGGTCGACTACACGCAGATCCGATCAGATCATACGTGTACCGTGTATTATAATCTCGTGGAAGGGCTGTTAGCCGATAAATTCTTCATCTAGGTGGAACCACTTACAAAAGGGAACACCTTTTCGTGATTGCATGCTTACGGCATGTGAAATAGTGTCCAAATTATAGGTCACGGCGTATAATTCGACGAAGCGTTGAGCAGGGTCGTGCTTCGCCAAAAAGGAAGAAGGACAAAAGGAGAAGAGAGGAGAAGAAAAATAACCGTGGAACATGGGACCCATTTCTTCTTCGTAGATACGTGAGACGCGCTTCCACCTCTTTTCTTTCTCAGCTCGTCTGATCGTCAGTCCTTTCCTTTCTCTCTTTCTGTCGATGTCGCACGATTCTTCCGGACGTTTCGATGACAACCACGAGCGTAATTAACCGATGATTAAAATGGCTCTACGAAAATACCTGAATGAGTAATAGGTACGCGTTTGGCCGTTGATTAATCGTCCTTCCGTCGAATGTATCGATATATCGACACGATGGACTGCGCCAGAACGCTTTTAGCGTAGTCAGTCACTGAAAATGATAATAACTAGCCGACTTCGCTAGTTGACGATCGTAAGTCTCTCTTAATGAGGTTAATGGGAGTCACAACCAGTCAGTTTTTCTTCGGGTTTCACTGGTTCGCTGGTGTAGCGATCGCCAGGCACGGTATAGAAATAGTTGGAACGAACGTTTTTCATGCGCGACGAAAGAAAAGTCGAGTCAAGCTTTGTACATAATTACAAAATTGTTCAGATCTGTTCTTATTCCCGTACAACGCGTTAATCGTAACGTTAACGCGTTAACTCATAGATGTTCGCGTTATCCGGTGAATGACTCTTCTTTTTTTTTTTTCATTCATAAAGAGACGAAATCATACGGAACCGCGTTGTTGGCTCCTATCCAGGGACTTCCTTTTGTTCCGACGAATTATCGCACGGTGCTGCGACTTATCGTTTGAACGCGCGCGCCCTGTGTATGTAAATGTTGACAGAGGCTGGAGCGGGAAGAGAAACAACCCGAAACGGTATGATATAACCAGTTAAGAGGCCATTGGGCCAACGTTCAAGCCGCAACTCCGACTTCACTGCACGAAGCAATAACTGCTCGTTGTACGCGCGTCTTGCATTCACTTTATCGCTTCGTTCACCCTTAACTAACTTTACCCTTCTTTTATTTTACGCTTGCACGAGTCGCCATCTGGCTCGTCCTGCGAAACGTTTCATTAGCTTCTTTGTAGAACTCGAACGATCGTTTAATTACTATTAATCATCGTCAATACCCGACATTCATTCGTTGGTGCACCGCAATGCCAACGGTTGAAAACAACCGGCGCTAAAAATAGAAAAGAAGTGTACCTATCGAGGTATGTTTTAGCCGTTCTAAACTTTACTGTCTGACTAATTTATTAATTATTCGTTTGAACACGCGTCGAAGGTCAGTGTGACGCTATCAATTGTCTCTCGGCCGAGTTATAAGTTATAAATAGTAACTTTGGTACTAAAAAAAAAAAAAAAAAAAAAAAAAAAAAGAAAAAAGAAGAAGAAAAAGTAATACAGTGATACCGAAGGTTCCACGAACGTCGATACGATGAAATTCTAAGGATTTCTAATACGCTGGAAATCCGAGAATGAAGAGTTTTACGCGGTTAGTCGTCGATATGAAAACGTAATACGATATACGCGAATTATATACGACCGGTAGAGAGCGTTATATAGCCAATAAGAAACAGTACTCGGAACTCGCGGTAATACGTCTGAAAGCGAAGGGACGAGCCGATGGCGCGAAATTGCACGGCGCGAGTTCCATCGACGATGTCCAACGCGTGTGTTATTCTCCGAATGAATCTCGGCGAGTAATAAAATGACTCGGGGCTAGCGGCGACCGAGCGGACGCGCTGATTACTTAGCGCGGACTGTTGTTCACGTTGACATCCGTAATCGGTGGGCTCACGCGGTGGTCGAAATAATAAACGGAAAAGCGTACACGAGCGATCCATTAGTCACGCTACTATTACAACGTTCGGTGGATTTCTCGTATGAACGACGCACGGTAGAAATATCGCGGTCACGATTCAACCTTCCTCGGTGATTCAAACCGCGATTTAGGCAATTAGATGTTGCGCGCGATTTTAATTGACCGACGATGAAACGAGAAACGATCGGCCTGACTCGGCGTCACGAGTTTAATTCCATTTAGACGCATCGTTCCGGTGAATCGTCGAGAATAGAACTGTTGTAATAAATTTCTCCAAGGTTTAGAACATTCCAACGTGAGGCAAGACCGCGAAACAACGCGTCGCATAAATTAATTAGACCCATTTTATTACGGTCGTGAGGTGACGCGATCGTAAACTCTGATACGCGTTATTGCGAACGAACGAACGAATAGAAATGCTTCGTTAGATTTTTATGCCCTTCTGCGATTCACTGAGAAACTAGACAAGACTTTGGACAACGCTTATTCAAACGTTTTTACGCGAATCACGCATATTTTAAACGACTGATGGTGGTACGGTTCGTTCAGCCACAAGAATCTAACACCGTCGGTGATCTCCATTTTCGTAATTGGCTCTTTCTCCCTAGTTTCCGTCGAGCTGCCAGACACGCGCCAAGCGCGTTTTCCTATCGTTGAATTTGGCCTAACCCTGAACGCAACGAGACCATATGTTTGTCTTTGTTGTTCTTAAAAGGAAAACAAAGAAAGACATATGTTCATAGGAAGATCGAGCGATAAACGTCGCTCGTGTGCGTTCGAGATAAAAGTGCAATTATATCGTATGTATTTCGAGCGTATGCGGCATATTTAAATCGAGAAACGACGAGAAAATAAATAACCGTGCCGAAAGCGTTCCTTGAATCGTCATTGAACGCGTATTTACTTAGAAACGTTGAGTTCGGTGGTAGGCTGCTGCATCGAACATGCATCGTGTCGTACCGAAATTATTTAAAGCTGCCACTGCGAATATCAACCGGCGCTGTTTGTCGAAATTAATGAATTATACGTGGGGTAGCAGTATATTTTAATAAATACATATTTAACGTGGGCAAACAGCGACCAGGATGATTGCTGGCCGAGCATATTCTGTCTATCCGGATCTTCGTATTCGGTCGATCGAAAGTTAATTAATCCGCTATTTGTTCGATTTACACGATACAACGCGGCCCGATACAGATTCCCGACATGGATGTAACAACGTAGAAAGATACGCTTTTCCTGGGCTGTGTAACGACGCATCGCCTCCGCGAACGATCCCACTGGCGCCAGACTAATATCCCATGCGCATCGCAAGAACGCGAGTTCGTCTTCAGCGGCGAACGGATGTGTCGAAAGTGTTCGAACAGAACGTTTACGCATATCTTAACGCTGAGATTTGCTGGCGTACAGTTGAAAAACGAAGCGCTCGGGTGGCTATTCTACGGTTTTATTTACCGGTTACGCAAGTTTCCTCGCGCGCCTTTATCGCGTGCCATGGTTATCGCGATGCAAGTACGTTTTGGACTAACGAAGGACTCGCAAAGATCGTTGGTTTCACTTCGAACAGGATTCTCTCGGAATTAGTTTTCAACACTACGCAGGTACAGCAGCACTTCGATAATTGGTCACGATCAGTTGACAAAGTAAACTCGCTAAATTTCATTCACTAGTTGCGTCACTTTCTTTTTGCGAGTCGCAGCAGTGAATATCGTACCTCCGATCCTATCGTGGTGAAAAAGCTACTTAAGAAATGTGCAATTCAAAGAGAAAAAAGAAAAAATCTTGAGTGCCACAGATCCTTGTCACTTGACGCGAAAAAACGGTAATGTAATATAAAAGCTTTTCCGAGAGGAGACGATCGAAGGCCTTGTTCGTTGATAGCACGATCGAAACACAGCTTTTTTTTCAGTCTCGACACCATTCCGGAACGTCGAGTCGATTCGTTATGGTATTTAGTCGCGCGATTCGCTTGGTCGGTGGGCGAAATGTCGCGATCGATTCGCGATGCGCGGCGTGCGGGATGCGACGAGCAAAAATGAAAAGCGGAAACGGGAAAAGGTAGAGTCGCGCGTGGCTTCGGGGCGTCACGCTGTCGACGGTGCAATATTCGCGGCATCACGCCCGTAGCACCGTTACCCAGCTATCGATAACCGAAGAAAAACCGCTAGCGTAATCTCACCGGCTAAATTTTACGGGTATTTGTACCACGCTCGCGGTTCGTTGGAACAACTTACAGCCGTAGAAACTGTCAGAATCGTGTCAGTTATTTCGAGACGTTTATTTCACATGTACCTACTGTTTCTATTGTTGCTTCATCGCAGCGAATTCTTCATACGTACGAATGCTTGTGCCACGCGAAAGCGAGAGAGTTCGTTTATCGTTGAATTGCCACTCATAAAAGGAAATGTTCTACCTCCATTTTCGCGTACGCGTAGTTTGTAAAGGGTCGTTTTGCACCTACGTGCGAACAAACAAGCCTAAGAGACAGGCGGTACCGAATAAAACTGCAAGATCCGAGTGCTAAGAGCATCCCTGCTACTTTGAAATCTGCCATTATTAACGTTCAACCTTCGATACCATTTACACGGCGCAATTTAAATGTCGCACGTACTCGTAAATGACGTGACAAATACACCGTGTTTCGATCAAGCTTGCGCGACGAAGTCGGTCGAGACAGGTAAAATATTTACTCTCGTGAATCGGAGATTGAAGAAAGGGAAGGACAAAAATCGAGCGTGCGAGGTGTCCCGAAAAAGGAGGGCACTCGTGACCGTGGCCGATGGAACTCTTCCTTTTTCGATCCGTTTCTCGGGGATGCGTCCCCGTGCACCGGCTGGTGCATGTGCATCGTGACAGGCCGTGCGTAAACACGTGCGTGGCGGCGCGCGTGTGCGTGCACACAGGCGCCGAGGGATGCGTCGACGGACCTCCGCCTCCTTCCTCCTCAGATCCACCACCACCCTGCGGACCTATATATTTCCCGGAGGGTCTCCCACTTTCGCCACTATCATTCCTGTCGCGGCTGCGCCAGCCCGTGAGCGCGCAAACGTGAGTCCGTTCTCGGCTTTCCTCTTCGGAGTTTCCTCGCTGGATGATTACGCGCAAACACCTGCCTTGCCTCGCGTTTACACGTCGATTTTCCACCGGTGGAAACGCCATCGTTCGGTGCAATCGTGTCGCGACGAGTTATTCAGTGCGGTTTCGAGGGAATTCGTAGGAACTGTTCGTCGATGTTAATCGATCGATCGTGAACGGAGGAATTGATTTTCGATAGCGTTAGATCTACTTTTCCTGTTCTTGTTCTTTTCTTCTGTTGTCCAAGATAGAGAGTATCGATCTCGATCGGACGAGTTTTTTCCCGCGGGGGCTCGTGTTTCTTGGGAAATGTGTGCCACGTGTAGTGAGCCCGCGAGTCCACCTGCTGCACCTACTGAATGGGATTAGATGAGGTGCACGACGGTACGTCAAAGTGTTTGCTAGATATTCTTTAACGTTCGTCGTTATTTATGAAAATTTTATCGTATACGAACTCGATGGTATTTTATCGGGCAACGATATCGTACGAAACTCTTTTGGTTATCGCCAACGAAGTTTGCCTTTACACCTTGGAGTCGTATTTGCCACGAAGTTCCAAAGTGGAAAAATATTTTCCTTTGCTGTCAGAGTAACGGTGAGAATAACCGATAGAAGTTTCGCTAAGAAGGCGTCGACAAGGCGAAAATGAATTTATCGAAACAAACTGTGAACGCCTAGACCGAACCGCGAGAAATTTTCCTTGTGGTTTGTCGTAGAATCGCACGTTTAATACCGCGCGAGAATCGAATAAGCAGAGGCGCATTCTTCACAGCTGTTCATACAACAAAACGCGCGCGTTGTCGCGGAGCAAGAAATCGTGAATATAGATGCCTCTTTATACCAGTACTCGCCAAGTAGCGACTTAATATATCGCCTTGTAAATTACTTTCGTATGACTTTTATCGTCGCCTCCTCCTAACACCGAATTTTTCCGGAATTTTCGAACGAGTCAAAACGATTCATCGATCGAAAGTTCCCCACGCAAACACCAATCGCTAGAGAATAAATCAACCTCGTTTCTTCCTAACCTTGCAATGCATTAGTCCATATACATAATTCATCGTTCCTTTTATCAACGTTGCGACCGATTCGAAATAATATTTTTTCTTACAAAACTAGGAAACTCATCGACCATCCGGATGTCGTGTTTCCTCCGTGCAACGCGATCATTGGCTACGTATTTGTTAGAGATAAAGAAAGCTAGGAAAGGTGGAGTTATTGAACACCTTTGCGATGAGCAGATGGCACGGCAAGGGTTTATTATACAATGAGAGAAGATAAAACTTGGACATCTAGAGCCTGAGTCTTAAGGCGATCAACCTTAACCGGTCTAAAGCCGTCCCTCGTGTTTCCGTGCGCGGTACGCAGTGATTTGTTGCGTCGCGTCCTTCTTACGCTCTATATCATTCAGCTGGTAATGAGCTTTGCCTTTAACGCATCGCGACGTTTCTCATGCGCAGGATGGCCTGAGCCTCGGAGCAAATCTTCATGGATCGTTCACGAAAATCGAAAAATGACCGGCCGCCGTGGAGTCCCGCGGAAGTGCCGCGGCGTCGACGATGCGCGCCGCGACGCACCAATATGACCAAAATCAGGAATTTCGGGTAAGTGAGCACGTATTTTTATAGAAATATTCTTCTAAGAAATGTTCAACGTTTTTTTTATTAAAGTAAACGCGAGACCAAATCCACGTAACGCGACACGTCTACAACTCTATAAATATTAATGACATGTTGATTTCTGTCGATAATTTTTACCATCGGGACGAAGTAACGAAACGTAGCGTATTGTACGCAGACTTCCTTGGATAGAAAGATTTGTAAAATTCAAGATAACAGAAAATACTCGATAGTTTGATATCCTCGACTCGCAGATATTCAATTATTCATATCCATCCGCCTCTACGATACAATTAATCAAGTTGAAAGGTTCGTGACTGTTCGAGCTGACCAGAGTTGACGTATAAAATTGCTGAAATATTAGCTTAGATTTCCTCGCTGATCGACGATCATCGATCGACACCTCGTGTAGCTCAAAAAATATGTCTGTTTAGAGAACGCTTCTGGCTCACGCGAATGTTATTTAACGGGCAGCTGCAAATGACGTTCGTTGAATGTGTAAACGCTCGGGGCTTGATCGAGGCCTCCCGTTTTGTTTAAAAGTTTTACGCGATATCGTCTTGGAAACGTGAAACCGTAAAAACTATCGATCGAACGTTAACCTAATGTTTCGCTTACCAAGAGCCAAACACGAATCGAACCTTATTGTGTTACTTGCGAGCCGATGAAATACGTAATCGAGGTGCTCGATGTCGCGATTAGAAGTGGATTGTTGCGACAGCTAAACGATTCCGGTTATCAGCTTTTCGTCGCTATATATTTAAAAGCTATCGTCTCGATACCGGCTTTCTGCCCTATATCCAAGCTTAGTGCTTCCGTGTCGCAATCGATCTCGATTAACCTGGTGTCTCCGCTAATCGGAAAGAAAAACTTTGAAAGATTCAGAATCGATGATATTAAAAAGGGGGCGGCGGAGGTGGGACACAAAAGCGTGCAAAAGCGCTGGTGATCGCGTTGACGCAAGCTCTCGAGGGCTCAACGATCGGTTAAAGCGTTTAGCCCGGAACACGATACTCGAACGAGCGTACGCGAGCAAACAACACGGTCGAGCGCGATGCGAAATTTGTACACGATTTGTATCGTCGATCCCGTAACCGCGAGCGTGCGGTTCGCCAGAGGAAAATGGAAAAAAAAGAAGAAAGGAAAAAGAGAAATGGAACCGAGAACAGCCGAAACACGATCGCCCCTCGATAACTCGTCATTTTAACGAGGATATCTCTCTCCCTTGTGCTGTACCGTGGCTATACCGGCAGTTTATTTTAATACAGACACCTCGTAATAATTCTCAATGTACATCGTACGGAATGAACGGACATCAATCCTTGCCCTCGTTACTTTCGATGCTCCAGGCAGAGGGTCCCTTGTTATCCGCGCAGTCTCCTTTGTACGGCGTGCATGCCAATGTCCGCGCATAATTACCGGTTTCGATTACAGATCGGCCATGGCAAGTGCGTCAGATTTTCCGCTCGTGCTGGGAAACGTTTTACCCTAACCGTCGTATCCTTCCTTTCTTTTATCCATCCGTCGATCTCTCGCGTGAGTTCCACGGGTTGGACTCGTACACCCTCGTCTCTGCTCCCTTTCATAATTGTCAATCGTGCTTTTCCTTTTCCACTTTTTTCTCTTTAATTATACCTTGTGCCTATATTCGCGATCGTCGATAATCCGTCCGGAAATCTCGGAATAAAAGCTTTCGTATCGCACGTTTTGGCGAATATATTAACATACCCTGGAGTAACGTGATTTCTCAGCGACCGTAACACGAGATTCCCAGGCGTAGTCTCAAAGCACCGACATGTCTGGCAGCGCACAGTTCCCGCTGATAACCGTGAAAGTAACTCATGCATCACGCTCTGTGACACTAATCCCCTGAGTAGGGGGGTGGATAGGGCTCCGAAAGAGTCGACGAGGAACGTAAAAAAGGGGAGAAGGAAGCCATGCGAACAATAAGCAATCTGTAGCGAATATATACGCTAATTATGTATGTTGAGTCTAGACGCACGCGTGCGATTATACGTACGTCTCTCCCGTGGTTCACATGCGGTATACATTACGTATGGTATGTGGTCGAGTTCTCCATGGCTCGCGTGTGTACGGGTCCCTTCCCGTCTCTGATAATACGCGGTGACGGAAAAATACGACCCGTCCGACTCGTCGGTCGAGAAAGTTTTTGCTCGCCTTGAGAACTTTTCGTCGCGACGTTCCGCTCGTCGATAATTATGCTCGTTTCATTTTTCCCCTTTCGAGATCCAACTAGCTCTGTTCGTTTCGACCCTGACAATTTTCGCAGATGTCGAAACCGGAGACTCGTTTCTCGCGCGAGTACATCGCTTAAATTTCGCCATCCGTTTCCCTTCGTACTACCGTTTCAGAATCGATAAACCGTTCGGAACCTTCGAAACTATAATTCACGATGAAAGCGATAGAAAACGTACATCGTTGATTTTCTCCTCCGGCTATGTACGAATACTGTTCGCTTCGGACCTAAGAGGATCTAACTTAACGATCACCCTTTGGGTTCACATGTTGCATAATGCTCGCGTGTGCTCGCGAATGCGTGCCATTACACGGTCGGTATGGTCGCGTAAAACTTACGCCACGAAGCTTTCTATCTGATGTATCAGGGCGGAGCGTGGCGATATCCCGAAGCGAACCGGAAAGACCATCGACGGCTCTCGGATCCCTGAGGTGCGAACCGCGAAGTCGACTCGAATATCGATTATTTACGAGACGAGTGCGGGAGGTAGGCACCGTAGTCGGAAGAACATGCGAGAAGAAAAAGCACGGGGGTGGAAGGACAAACAAATAGAGGTGCATTAGCCGGCGACCGTGTCAGGAATGTGAAGAGCAGTTGGCACACGGCCTACCTCGCGATCTACCTCCCACTTTGATCTTCGCCGCTGTATCGCGAAATACCACGACATAGGCTGTCGGGGCAAAATACATCTCTGTGCGTGTTGTTACGCCCTGCCCTCTTCCTTCCTGCGCCTTTCTCTTTGTCTCTTAACCCTGGAGCCACGTGTTCTCTTCGTCCCTTCCCCGACGCTGTTCGAGTGCGAGGTACTGTTAATCGGCGTCGAAAGACCGGGTCGTTCGTCCTCGATGACGTAGGACGATCGATCATGCGCCAGTCAATGCGTTTCCGTTCGAAATTCGTGGCGATACGCGCTACTGCCCGGCCGACGTATATTCCGAGGGTCCGTTATCGAATATGACTGTTGGACGAAAAAACCCAACAACTTCCCGGGGCATTGGTATATAGCTGAATGAATCGACAATTGCGCCGTCGTCGTTGCGCGTTAATTAACATCAGCCACCGTTCGCGTTTCCACTTTCATTTCGCATTCTAGCAGATTGTGGAACGGTGTTGAAAGCGAGGAAAAAAGGAGTAGAACGTGGTTGCTCGAGTCGAAGGCGAAATAGGAACGCGTCGATCGGAATTTCGTTCGGTCATTCAGGGGCAATAAACGCACCTTTCAGAGTGAGGAGTATCGTTTAATTACGGATCAGCTGTTTCAGTCGGAGCGTGACGGGTTCGCGCGTGTGTGCACGCGTGTCCCGATCGATTTATTTCAAGTATGTATCGAGAGGCTCGCGGGCATCCGAGCGATCCCATCTCGGGATCGAAGACAGAATTACCGTGGAAGGCAGCAATAAACGCGGTCCACTCACGTACAACGAGTACTATTCATAAGTCGGATTGAAGCTAAGGGCCGTAAGTCCGCTCTGAGAGTGGCGCCTTCGACCACCTCGTAATTCTCGTCCGGAGACTTTTCTTCTTCACGGAGGCTCACAATTAACTTCATTATGTACGCACATGTTCCCCACGTTTCCGTTGATTAGCGCGCGTCACGCGGCGCTCTCTATGCTACCGCCTCCGTTCAATGCATCTTCGATCTCATTCAACCGCTTTTTTATTCGAACCGATTGCTTTATGTCTTCTCACAGGGACTAGAACACGGCAAGTGTTCCGCGTTTTCTTTTTCTCTCGTTTCTTTGCTTTAATTTCCTTTCATTCATTAACGTTGTACCGTGCTACCGACGCAGCAATTTCAACAAGCAACGAGACCACGAAGACTAATTGTCGCCGCGATACCTCTTACCAATTGGTTATCGAGTTTTCGTTAAGTCAATTTCCATGTCGTTATCCGGGCCTATTAAAAGGGTCACCGTACTCACTTTCGACCACGGCTATCGACGGTGGTCTGGCATCGATCGACTCGTCGAAAGAGACGGACTAATTGGAGGGCCTACCTTAACTGTAACTTTTCGATAAGAGATCCCCTTCATTTTCGACGAAGCGTTCTCCGATGGCAAGTTGTCTAGGCTAGACGATAATTTTTATTATACCCATGTTCAGTCGTTGGAAGAACGTCGAAAACACGGAGAGTGCGACAAGGAAGAAAACCTTGTATGGAACATGTGCGACCATAACGAATGTTTACGCGTAACTTCCGGAAACATTACGAATAACGATTGCACTGGCGCATATGGTTCTCGCAATGACTAGTGACGCTCATAAATGTTGATTAATTTCACCATGGAAAGGCACGACAAGGTCGTGTTTTAATTTCTTTCGTCGAATTCGTACGCGATTGAATTATGCTGCTTGCTGGTAATTTGCTTCTTTCCGAGTGGTCAAAGGTGATTGCACGGGACGAAAATTAAATGGAAGAATGAAGAGAACCAACGACGGCTATAAGCGAGCTTACGAGCCGTAAAACACCACGAAAGTCGTAAAATCGTCAAACAATAGATTACACGGTAGTTAAAGCATTGGCAAACAGTGCTGGCTGTTGGTCATTTTCTTTGAAGGCTCGCGAAGAATCAAATCGCTATGCGGTTTCCCTGCTTATAACAATAGCGCAGCACTCGCTATTGTTCGAAGAAATGGCTTTATAAAGACCCTGATTTCGTTTCCAAAAGGCTCAACTCTTTGCTCTTTGGCTGCGCATGAATTTTATAGCTTCGAATTTTCCCAGCAA